TTCTTCTCCGTTCAAGTGCATCAAAGACTGATGAGCTTGAATTAGTAGCTTAAGAAATGAGCTTGAGGGGGAGCTGCTCGACAAGAACAATATTGATCACCGGGTATCAGAACACTACGTAGCGTTACTGCATCATAGGTGCGACGAAATAAGCGACAAGCTGCACATTTCCTAGTGCAAATTAATAACAATTCCTGAAAAGTCTTGGACTTCAGAATCCCCGAAGATTGAAGCTCCCCGGAGAGAGGCGATATTAATTCACTAAAAAAATCTTTCACTTCCGATTTCCGGTCTTTCAAACCGAATGATTTATATTTTTTGCGATTTTCACAAAACACTTGAATGCAGGTGCCTTACAGATAATCAACCGAACGAGAACGATGGTGATCGATGGAGCGCAGATCAACAGGCGTCGAGGACCGCGTTGGTCGACTGCTTCGACTGCGATACTTCTCCGGGTGAACATTCAGTAAATGCTCTAACCGCCTGGAACAGTCATTTTTCGTTTCAGTTTTCTGAATAGTGGCTTCTTTCAAATCTGAAAGATCTGATCCCAGCAAAAGTATTCCGGAGGCTAACCACAGCATGCACTTATCTACAAGAGGCCTGTGCAGAAGTGCTTAGATAGCTGCATGCGCTCGCAATCTTGCCTCTCACATTAGGTTAGCCCTTGAACAGCCTGACGAGAAGGAGAGGGAGCAGGATGGCGGCTAGCTTGGAGAAAACTAAGTAAGAGATTGCTGGAACCAGGGCCAAGCCGGAGCGCTGAGCAAATCTTCTATCTGAAGACAGTGATGGTGTCAGGTGGCGTGTAAAAAGTCTCTCATAAATCACCAATTAAGCACAAAGGAAATTTTGTCTTGCTTGTTCCTCCCACTGTGGTATCAGCGTTGCTGGTAATTTCCATCCGTTTCAGTCGGCCGAAAAGAAAGCGTTTTATGTTATTCACTTCTCAATGCGTCACTTTGGCACTGTTGACTCAGTAAACGACCCACGAGACAGAATTATCATCTTCAAGCTAAATTCGGCAGTTCCTCCGACTGAACGCTTTTTCTCGCATCTATTTTCACTTTTTCTCGACGATTTTTTGTATCCGTAATGGTGCTTTCCCGCAGTGCCGAATCTTGGATTTTTTCGAGGCGGGATAGAAATTAGAGCCGCTGCTCCTTTCCCCTCTATTCACCTTTAAGTTTCTTTATGAAGTTCCGTCTTTTTTCAAAAAACCCGAGCAATTTTAGATTGAATTTGAAACAGTACAAAAAATCCAGTTTTAGTCTAAGAAATTCTTTATTACTT